CAGATCAGAATGCACAGGGAAGCCATCGAAATCCACAAACAGTTGGATAACTTCAACAGGAAAGAAACCCTTAAAGTAAACAAGATTGGGCTACCAGTCCTACAAAATAAGAAAATCACACTCAGCAAATGCAAATGGGAAACCAACCAGGGTCAGGGGCTTTCCCAGCAGACAATAGCAGACAATCTCCTTGATTGCATATCCTCCCACTCTGAAGCCATGCCATTAACAACAGAATACCTATTCAACACAGAACAATGCACAGTTTACATGGGAGTCACTCCTCCCTACCCAAGGTCTCACAGTATATATAGACCCACTCTCTTCCATTCCAGTATTCTCTGAGGATGCCAGCCACAGATGCCAGTGAAATGTCAGAAAGAAACTCTTCTAGAACATGGCCACACAGCCCGAAAAACCAACAAAAAACAATCAGTTTTGTGTTCATCAGTAGCTTAATGTGGCCAAAAGAAAAGCACCTTTATTCTTAGTAGATTTTTAAAAAAAGGAGAAATGATCTGAAAGCAGAGTGCAATTATTCTGATAAATATTATGAATCTGTGGGTAATCTTTGTTCTAGCATTCGATAGCCATGCTGCTAGGCATGTCAAGATCAATTCAACCCTAACCAACTATTTTTTGCAGTCTTTGCGGTAGAGATGGACAAATCTGTCAGTTTTGCTTTCTTCCACATTTAGTAGTTTAAAAGAAAAACAAAAAAAGCAAAATTCCAATGCATTTATTTTCAATTTAAATATTTTATTAATTTTCATACCTATATACATTCCAATGAATTTATGAAGATTTGTTTTTTTTGTATGCTCTTACCATATTTGCACCTCCAATTTGCACTGGTCAAATTCAATAGGATCCACTATTCCCAAATGAAGATGAGAGTCTTGCATCTATCTTCCATGGAGATGTTACAGAGAAGGCTTTTTTTTTTTTTTTTTGGTGTAGGGGATAGAATGACAACTCTAATGCAGCACCAGAAAAATGGATTAATGCAAGAGGATTTTAAGACAGATGTTCAAAGGCTATGCACTCAACCCCCTTTGGCTGGCT